GAAGCCTGCTTCTCCCTCTCCCACTCCCCCTGCTTGTGTTCCCTCTCTCGCTGTCTCTCTCTCTCTCTCAAATAAATAAATAAAATCTTTAAAAATAATAATAATAATAACTTTAAACTTAGGGGTCATAGCCACTGTATATCAGTAAAGCACATCTCTTCAAACAAGCAGTGTCTTGTTGATGATGATGCCTTTTTGGTTTCAAATCTGAAAATTCTCAGAATAAATTTGAAATCAACGGTAATAAGCCACAGAAAAGAATGCGAGTGATGGAGCAGTTGATAAAGGCTAAGAATTCCAAAATCTTTCACTGTGTTATTATTGTCCCAATACACTCACGATGATCTAGGAAGAGGTAGGGGATTTTATTAAAAACAATAAAAAAGAAGTGTCATTTAACTAAAAGGGGATAAAATGTGGGGAAAAAAGGACCCAAAATATTGCAGTGTTAGGAAATAGGACAAGGAGAGATAGGGATTCTCCTGGTATCGGCACAATAGAGAGTAAACACACAGAAATATGCTTTTAAAGGGAATTCTTATTAGATGCAGTGATTTTCAGTGAGCCATTTACCTTTTGAGGCATCAGTTGCCTCATTTTTAAATGATCTGTTCAGACTAGAAGATTTCTAATCCCTCTTCTTTTCACCTCTAAAGTTCTATGCTGTATTCTTCCCCCTTGGAAAGTTTAGAACCTGTGGGTAGTATAGTTGCTCTCACGAGCTGTCTATTTGAAATCAATTATTGCTAGTATCGAATTCTGTAGGTCCTTGCATAATCACTTCATGGATTTTGTTCCCAAGACATTACATACCAGTTTATAAAATATATATATTTGATTTCCATTACAGATAAACTTTGTGCTAGGGAAAGTTTTTGAGAAAGGGTTAGCCTCTTAGTAAGTTCTTTCTTTCAAAATAAATTTTGGCAGAATGGTTTTCCTTACTTACCTTTTTTATTTTTTCTCCTTTGTCTATAATCCCTTTTCCCCCCTCACTTGCAACTAAGTAGTATAAACAGTTTGACTTTCAGGAAGAGTCATGTGACCTCTTAATTATATAAACCCCAAGTTTTGCTCTGTTAATATTGGCAATGACCACATTATCCTACATATCTGTTAATCCTTAACATTCTTTTTTTTTTTCTTAAAGATTTTATTCATTTATTTGACAGAGAGAGACACAGCAAGAGAGGGAACACAAGCAGGGGGAGTGGGAGAGGGAGAAGCAGGCTTCCCGCGGAGCAGGGAGCCCGATGTGGGGCTCGATCCCAGGACCCTGGGATCATGACCTGAGCTGAAGGCGGATGCTTAACGAATGAGCCCCCCAGGCGCTCCAATCCTTAACATTCTTAAAGACAAAAAACCAACTGCATTAATTTTAATACTGTGAAGCTGATTCTAATTTCTGATGCAAATATGTAATATATAAGCCTAAAGTTAGATTTTTCATATCTTGTGTGTGTGTGTGTGTGTGTGCATGTGCGTGTGTATTTGTGCTAGGCCTTTTGGTCAGACTGGAGATATATATATACATATATAGATATAGATATAGATATAGATATAGATATAGATATAGATATAGATAGACAGATAGATAGATATCCATCCCAACAAAAAAGGCTACCACAAATTATTTTTAAGTTTTAATGGATCTCAGTCTAAAATGGAAAAATCCTACAATCTTATTTGCCAACGTACCTGAAGATCATAAGGTAGGCTAACAAATACAAAAGACACATTAAACCAATAATGTCCTGCAAAAAGAAAAAAAAATAGAGAAAAAGGTAAAACTTGGCAGGATCTGTCCTTTCACAAGGGAAATAAACTCCTGCCAACCCAGATCTTTAGTTGTGGGCTCACATCTCCTGAGACAAATGTATGACCTTGTATTGAGATCTTAAGATCTGAAAGAGTCTGGGGCACCTGGGTGGCTCAGTCTTTGGGCATCTGCCTTTGGCTCGGGTCATGATCCCAGGGTCCTGGGATCAAGCCCTGCATCAGGCTCCCTGCTCAGCGGGAAGCCTGCTTCTCCCTCTCCCACTCTCCTCCCTGCTTGTATTTCCTCTCTCGCTGTGTTTCTCTCTGTCAAATAAATAAAATCTTTAAAAAAAAGATCTGAAAGAGTCCTAAATCTTTTTCCCTTAAGTAACATCAGAGAAAGCTTCATGTTTTCCTTCATTAATACCATGTATAAACTAAAATTGAACCCTGAAACTTTACTTGGGCCCCTAGGAAATAGGAACAAAAATAAGAATTGTTCATCTAAACATCCTATCTCATGGTTTTAAACCAGGAGAGCAATAGTCCTTTATTTTAGTTTATTTGATCTCTCCCTTGTGCGAAATATTCAATAACTCCACATTTTAGGACTTATTTCAGAAGATGATCTATTCTCTCTCAAGTTTGCTAAGAAATCAATGGAGGACATTTCAAATAGGCTTGAACCCATATCCATTTAATGGTACAATATAGACAAGCAGCAGTCATTGCTTCCTTTAACTCTCTAGTTCATTAATTAGGAAATAAATTAAATTAAAAAGGGATGTTACATCTACCTATGAAAGACTGCACGTGTAATTTACGAAGTATTATAAATTTCTATAAGATGGTACATTATTGATTCAGAATATCATTAACAGATATAATAGTGATGATAAAAATAATCAGGACATATAAATATATTTTCTTTCCCTCCCCCCATTTAGGTTCTTTTCAATGTAACAGTTACAATGAAAAAGTGTGACGTCACAGGAGGAAAGAGCTATGCAATAATCAAACCTATTGGTTTCAATGAAACCACTAAAATTCATATACACAGAAACTGCAGCTGTCAGTGTGATGATGGGAGAGCACCTAAACGAAAGTGTGTTGATGAAGTTTTTCTAGATGCCAAGTGTTTCCAGTGTAATGAGAATAAATGTCATTTTGATGAAGATCAGTTTCCTTCTGAGAGTTGCAAGTCACACAAGGATCAACCTGTTTGCAGTGGTCGAGGAGTTTGTGTTTGTGGGAAATGTCTGTGTCACAAAATTAAGCTTGGAAAAGTGTATGGTAAATACTGTGAAAAGGATGACTTCTCTTGTCCATATCACCATGGAAATCTGTGCGCTGGTAGGTTTAAATAAATATATACATGCAGTTTTTACTAGTTACTGTTAAACTGGCATATATATTAAAGTATCTTTAAATCACATCTTTATAATTACCAATCCTGAATCTGAACTTAATATTCAAAGGTTCAAAGTCTATGAAATTAGGGCATGGCAACAGATTTATGGCACATGATTCTGCTGTTTATATTTTAAATTATTTTGTACAGGAAGTACTTCAAAATAAAAACCAAAAATTAAGTGCTATTCTCAAGTATGCCTTGATCTATATACCCAGAAAAGGAAATTACTGATGATGTCTGGCAGGTTTTCTATAATCAGAGTATTCTTCTAGAAAGACCTGATTCATTCTCGTAAGTGGTCACTCCCTCCAGCTTGCTCAGAGGACAGTGAGCTATAAAAACATAGTTTCCATTCACTGGAAAATTCTTAATGCACTATTATAGATGGTATTATAAATTTGTAATAACTTAAACCTTTCCAGTGTATTTTTGGAACAACGCCAGCAACGAAATTATCAAAGGACAGCATTCTCCAAGAAAATGCTGGTTTCAAAAGTAATCTAGAAGATTAGTACCAGAGGCCACACACAGACAACGTTTAAAAATGAAATAATTTAAAACAAAAATATCAAAAGTACTTTTTGGCTAATTCAGTTTACTGCCACCTAGAGGTTAGATTCTAGAAAATCTGTGCAACATTTGAAATTTAATCCAAAATATTGTTTTTAAATGAATTAATTTTTCTGTGACATTGTGCTAAATCCACTTATTGTTAAAACAGCTTTTTAATGTTTGCATTTTGGTAAGCAAATATTAATTAGATTACTGATGAACTGAAATATTTCACTGCCATAACCATATGGAAAGTAACAAACCTATACAAATTTTCTATTCTTGTATAAACTAGAAATTTGCCCTATATCACATAAATATGCAATGGAAAATTGCCTTTTTATTCTGTTATAGACATAAACCATTTTATATGCCAAACATTTATTCTGCTGTACCTGGTATCATTGGTAGAATGGATTATAGATGACTTAAGAACAAACTAGCAATTACCTTCTAATTTTTAGAGCTAATCCTATTTGGAACAGGAAAGAGGAAGAATTCTGATATCCCACAGCTTTTGATCTCTCAAAGAAGCTTGAAATACATTGAGAATCCCGGTCTCTATTTATAGTTAAATATCAAAAACCAAGGTACTAGCCCTTCTATATGACTATACTGCTGGCCCACAGGTGGTTGAGAATCTGCTCTGAATTATTTGTGTATAAATTATAGTGCAAACTGTAGGCTGACAATATTTTCTTCACTAGTCTCCTTTGAGAATAAAAACACATGTTCACAGGTCAGCTGGCTAGGATTAGGTGTGCAGCTTGCGTATAGGGAACTGGGTCTGGCAGGCATTTGTTTGGCCTCGATCTCATTAGTTTTACATTTAGCAATTGAGTTGATCCAACAGTAGCTTCTATGGAACAGTAACCCTGTGAGGTGCTCCTCAATAAAGGGAGGGAGGGAAGGAGAGAGGGAGGAAGCCAGGAAGCAAGAGAAGGAAGGAAGGAAGGAAAAGTCTGTGGCCACATAAGCTTGAGAAACACTATGTAACCCTGTAATATATAATCGCTCTTGAAGATTTCAAATTCACATAAGCATATTAAATTTTAGATGCCTCCTGCAGTCTAAAATCCATTTAAGTACATATGACCAGTGTTTCCCTCAACTCATTTGTCTGCCTGCCCCCAAGCCCAACACACAAGTGTACATTTGCACACACACACACACACACTTACACACATACCCCACTTGCTTTCTCTCATTTATGACCTAATAACAGCTCACAGCACACTGTAGGACGTGCCCTTCTAACCTGTTAATGTCCTGAAGCTGGGAAGGGATTAGTTCAACTTGCCCAGAGATCTTGTCTTTAAAATGGCACTAGCAGCACTGAAGGACTAGAAGGGTTTGCCTCACAGACCCAAATTATCCCAGGCCCTTAGCAATAACGAGAGACCACGAGAACAAATTATGGAAGCTATTAAGCAAATACCCCTGTTTTTCAGATCTTAAAACAGACAATTAACATTACTTCCGCCTTTGAGGCTTTTTTATATTTGTGTGTTTTTCATTCAAACCGGAACGGCCAGTGACCTTCAAGTGGCCAGGCAGCCGGAGCAGCAGAGCGGATGTCACAACCATGGGCACAACGTTTAGCCTCAGGAGAGTCCCTACAACCGAACAGCTTTGAAAATAGGCCCTCCTAAACCCTAGCATTGTTCTTGCGGGCGAATAGAAAATGACGCTGTTCCCACTCACTGGCCGGTCGGTGTGTTTCCACGGATGGGGGAGGGGAATTCAGGTCTGGAAACACGTCACAGAGTCAGCGGCCCCAGTAACTTAGGTCCTGGAGTGTCTGTTGCAGGGCATGGAGAGTGTGAAGCGGGCAGATGCCAGTGCTTCAGTGGCTGGGAAGGGGATCGCTGTCAGTGCCCGTCAGCCTCAGCCCAGCACTGCGTCAGTCCGAAGGGCCAAGTGTGCAGTGGAAGAGGTACGTGTGTATGTGGCAGGTGTGAATGCACGGATCCCAGGAGCATCGGCCGCTTCTGTGAACACTGCCCCACGTGTCACACAGCCTGCAGTGAAAACTGGTACGTGTTCTCTACCTCCAAACATACATACAGCAGTCCTTCAGTAGTGCTGGGCTCGTCCTTTTTCTATTTTGCCTTCCTTAATCTTACATGTTGCTGGATCTTCTCTACCATGGTAAACTGTTACCATCATGCTAAAAAAAGAACCGAATGGGGAATTTAGGAATTAGAAAACTTAGATTTGAACTCTTGGCCACTAGATAGCTGTGAAAACATCAGAATTGATCTAGGCATTCACTCCCTTAGCTTGTTTGAAATAGGTTTGTTTTTTTTGACCATCACATTGTTTTATTATTATTATGTTATGTTAATCACCATACATTACATCATTAGTTTTTGATGTAGTGTTCCATGAAATAGTTTTGTTGTTTTAAAGAATAATATTCAGTGTTTATTGTTTTTTCCCCAGCTTTATTGAGATACAACTAACATAGAACCTTGTTTACACAAGGCTTAAGGTGTGCAACAGGATGATTAAAATAATAATGAGGATTATAATAATAATACCTGATATAGTTCTGTGACAGAATTAAGTTAGATGATTCATGTAAAACAAAAACAACCCAACCTTTGTACTTACTTGGTGCATAATAATCCTAGAATAAATGTTAGCTATTATTATGGGGTTTATTTTATTTTATTTATTTATTTATTTATTTAAATTATTTTAAAAATAAAGAATGACAGTGGCCCTGAAGCACCTCTAGAAATAAGCGGTGGATGAGTAAGAGGTGATATGTTAAATGAAGGTGGCGTTGTTTTTTGTCAGTAACTAATTTCCCAGGAACAGTTTGAGCCTGCTCAGAGATCACTACTCTACATATTACTGTGCCTTCCAATATGTCTTATTCAAAATTTTTAAGACATTTACTTTCTCAGATTGGTGGTTCAAGTAAAAATTTTAAAATTATATATAGCAATTTATGTAACTGTCTTGGAAATGCAGTACTTAAACATAACGTTGGAGTTATTTCTAACGAACCCAACTGAAACTTGAACTGTGTATTCATTGCTAAACTTTTCTATAGTATAACATTTATCCTCTAAAATATATATATATATTTTAAAGATTTTATTTATTTATTTGACAGAGAGAGACACAGCGAGAGAGGGAACACAAGCAGGGGGAGAGGGAGAGGGAGAAGTAGGCTTCCCGCTGAGCAGGGAGCCCGATGCGGGGCTCGATCCCAGGACCCTGGGATCATGACCTGGGCCGAAGGCAGACACTTAACGACTGAGCCACCCAGGCGCCCCCTCTAAAATATTTTTATGAGTTTTATTTGTGATGAAAGCATCTTATGCGTTTCCTATTTTCTTCTCAATCAAGAGAATTCATTATTTTGATTTTATACATTATTAAAATATTTTTAGTGGTTAGAATATAATTTTGCCATGTAAATTCAGCCAGTATTACAAATAAACGTCATGGCTTTCTTTCCCAGTTTTACAAGGTGGCTGTCCTAAAGCAGCACTACTCTATTTTGATATTTTATTTCTTGCAGAAAATACTGTGGGCTACAACCTTTTCAAAGGTTAAATGTTTCATTTCTTTTCGTCCTTTCAGGAATTGTGTGCAATGCCTCCACCCTTATAACCTGTCTCAAGCTATACTTGATCGTTGTAAAACCTCATGTGCTCTCATGGAACAGCATTATATGGACCAAACATCAGGTAAATCAAAGCTTAAAAAGCACTGAAGAGTATCACATTCCCCTAAAGGGCGCATAATCAATCATCCTAAAGAAAGGACTAACTGCTTCAGTGTTCTCAGTCTTCCAGAGGTGGTACTCTATAACAAGCAGCTGAGTATATTGGCCATGGTTTGGCTGAATTGTTACATCTCCCAGCCAATTAGCCAGCTAAATTCTCATGCTGTGCCCCGCTGTGGCAGTACACCAGGCAGAATTACTACAGAGGCCTCAGTGAGCCAAGAGTGGAAATTTCCTACGTAGAGTCCATTTCACCCTTACAGATAAAACTATGGAGCCATACTTATCTTTCATAACCCAGACTTGCTTCCAGCTACAACGTTCCTCTGTAAAACCCAAATTCACTTTTATGTTTCAGGTGAAGCCAAAAATCCTAAGTAGCATTGATCGGCTTTTGCAAAATATGTAACTTAAAAAGAGCCATTCCTTTCTGGTATTTTTTCATTCGGATGTAAATACAATTTAGGGGTGAATGATTATAAAGGCGGCATAATGGAAAAGGCATGAAACTTTTAGTCTGGACACCTTGGCTTAATGCATGTCCCTTGACACTAATAGATAAGAAATACCAGCCCTCTTACAAAATTTCCCTGAGCCTCAGTTTCTTCATCTGTAATAGAGATAATAATACCAAACTCAAGGAGCTGTAGGAGATTAAATGAGCCAGTGAATATGAAAGAAATATGTGAATTAAAAGATGACACGCAAATGGGAGAAACATGTAAAAGCTGTGTTCAAAGACAATTTTAAGACAAAAACTCATTAGAAGCCAAAAGCCAGTACGCCACTTTGCTCAGGTGTTAAGGTTAAAGTACACATGAATTAGAAATTAAGCTTGAAATTATGTCTTCTTTGAAAACATTTCTACTGCTACTATTATTTCTAGTCTCTCCTCAAACCTGTAAAGATAATTCCAGCTCTTAGACTGCACAGAAGAATAAACTGTCTCCAGTTTTGTTTCCTTCTTCCCTTGCATCCACACTGATCTTAGCCCATAATGAATTTGGCTTTGAAAAGAGCCCATGTGCTGCCAGCTGGGGCTGCAGCAATCACTCCAGAAAGCCAAGTGCCTTTTCTAATAAATAGAGCCCTTTCTGTCAACATGTCATTTATTATGTTAAGTAAACAAACCTACTCTGACCTAAGTGTGGTTACAAAAAGTATTCCCTTAAAGCTCCTTAGGAAAAGCCCTTGCTTGACCTAGACTAAGATGAGAGCCATGGCCAGGGCTAAATGTTTGTCTATCCAAAATGACATTCTAAAATGCATGCAGATTTGAGCCTGAAGATGTCCTCTATCCTAACCCATTAGAAATATTTGTAAAATTTATTGGTAGCTAGGGGGCTCCCCTCCCCTTCACAACTATGGTGGAAGGAGAGGGAAAGAGCATTTGTTAGCCACCTCTATTATCTATCCACTCAATCACACTTAAAGGGTGTTGTTCCAGTCTTCTGGCTAAGCTCCTCCTAGGCAAGAAGCCAATAAGTGGGATCAAGCCACGTGTCCCCTTTAAGGATCTGCTTTAGCTGATTGACTAGTTCTAAGTCAGCCAAGGGAAATGACAGTCTGTCAGGATGAAAGGCATGCTTGTCACAAACCTGAAGGTCACTGTGGAAGACTCCAAGGACACCACCTTTGAATAAAGTATCTTGGATTCTCTCTGTGTGAGAGACCAGTAACAACAGGAGACTTGTGCTTGCTTTTGGTGTTTCTATTCCAATTAGTAGTCCTTTGGACTCTCTTTAGCCTTTCTTTCAAGAAACCTTATCACTGACCAAAGAAAACTGGGCTTAAAATGTTCCCACTTGGAGAGGAGCCCTTGCCTCATTTCTGAGTTCTTAGCTTATTCAAAAGCATGCTTGGTCATCCCTGCGAATTCAGAAACAAATTACCCACGTTTAGGTGACTGCTCTTCTAAATCTTGGCAGGTCCCCCTCCCAAAAGGACCTCTCAGGGAGACCTTTGGGCATTTAAGTGAAGTCCCCAAAGTCTGGAGAATGGGCAGAAAACACATGCCTCTTTAAGCCAGGAGGTAATTTTGTGTATCTGGGGCAGCTGGTGAATTCTGTGGAATACTGGCATTATTGTGCAATGTTCCTCTTAGATTAGGATAATACTTCTGGCATCCACAGAGCCTGTAGACTTTCCAGCTAGGGTTTGCCAAAGGTCTGGTGTTAAAACAGAGACCTTGTATGCTCCTCCTCTTAATGCAGCATTTTCCTTTTCCAGCGAGTAATTATTTGTCCTTGAAAAAAAATATACAGTGGAATTTTTAGAAGCAAAATATGACAGATTTGGTTGACAAGTAAAAACTAAATTAATAAAAATTGAGGAAAAGAGATTTGCATATTGTCCTGAGCTGGACACTCTTATTCCCTGGAGAGGCTACATGTAATATTAATGGAAATTTACACTACACTTTCAAAGGAAATACTTATTCATCTACTAGAATAGTACTGATTTTAGCTTCTGCAGTTGTTTACTTTATTTTCCATTACTGCTGTGCAATGAATGAAGAGCAAGCATAACAAGAGAAACATATGCTGATACACAGAGCTGTTAAATAATTTTTAAATCCCATTTTCCACTTAGTGATCAACAATGCACACCACAAAAACTGCTCCTTTCTGTCACAGGTAAAATTTTATTTTGTTAAGGAATTTGGGCACATTCCAGCTAATACAATTAAAGAATCAAGCTGCAAAGAAATAATATTTTTGAATACTTTAATTGTGGCTATTCTCCAAAACAGGGCTTTCTCTTGGAAATATTTTAATAATCAATGTTTAATAAAAATTACAGTTACTTTTTGAATCAGTAGTAATGACATTCTTCTGTTTTGAAAATGTAGATTTGCAAATATCTCTGGTCCTATTAATTGAGATGGAGAACATTGTTTGCTTGTTAGAATCCTTTGATTTACTCATTCCAGTTTTTAATCCATTTATTTGTTTGCTTTATTACAGAATGTTTCTCTAGCCCAAGCTATTTAAGAATATTTTTCATCATCTTCATAGTTACATTCTTGATTGGGTTGCTTAAAGTCCTTATCATTAGACAGGTGATACTACAATGGAATAGTAATAAAATTAAGTCCTCGGCAGATTACAGGGTGTCAGCCACAAAAAAGGTCAGTGAATTCTAAAAAAGAATTACTATCAGTATGTCATTGTCTACTTCCAATATTTAGACTGTTAAGTAATGACATTTTTTCTCCATCAAGGACAAGTTGATTCTGCAAAGTGTTTGCACAAGAGCAGTAACCTACCGACGTGAGAAGCCTGAAGAAATAAAAATGGATATCAGCAAATTAAATGCTCATGAAACTTTCAGGTGCAACTTCTAAAAAGATAAAAAGTACTTTATGGGAAACTGGATTTTTAATATTTGCTCCTAAAAATATATAATTTTAGAAGTCACAGGAGGAGACAAACTGTTCTAGATCATGCTGGTTGCTGGTTGTCCACTTGAATGAAGACTGACAGACATCCTCATCATCATGTGACTCACACCGCTGCTGAATTTTTCAGAGAAAAATGTGTCTTACTACTGTTTGAGACTAGTGTCATTGTAGCACTTTACTGTAATATATAACTTATTTCGATCAGCATAGAATGTAGATCATCTGAAGAGCACTGATTACACTTTACAGGTACCTGCCATTCCTATGCTTCCCAGAGAGAGACAATGCTGTGTCACTACAAGGGTACAGTAATCCCTGCACCAAACGTGTGGATGAAAAAAATAAAAGGCAGTTATGCTACTGTTGCCAAGCACTTCAACCATTGGCAGTGAATAGACAAGAACATCTAGATGGATAAATGGTTAGTGTTTCACTTATTCAAGAGGTTAATAGACAAAACCTTACTTTTGAGGGATATTGCTTTTGAAACTGTGTAGTGTTATGCATGTGTTTGTTTTCTGCTTCTTACAAGATACTAATTTCACCATTCTCTCTTTGCCTTTATATTTTTTCTTTCTTACAGGATAAGTTTATATATGTCACAAATGACTGGATTAAATAAGTGCTAAGTTACTACTGCTATAAAAACCTAATAATACAATGTCACTTTATTAGAATACTGATTTTAAAAGCTGAATGTTTAATAAGGGACACTGTAAAGTAACATCAAAATCGAACAGCTTCGTTGTGTGCAGATGTGGAGTCTTACATATCTTCTTACCTGATAAACTGGATGCTTCACCATTTCATTTGTCTAATCATCAGGTTGAAGATCACAAGGTGTTTAGAAACTCTGCCTCAAAGTGCCACATTTTTTAGTGAGTTCTCTCAGATATTTACTCCAAGTAGACATTAGCATTTTTCTAATTAAAAGCTATATTATGCTATATTATTTTCACCCCTCAGTGCAGCATAAAGAGTTCTTTCCCTGAATCACCTCAACCGTACTCACCAGAATTTAAAAATATACAATTGGAGGAGGATAGACAATATCTTAGAAATAAGCTAATTCATCCTTTTACTTAGTCAGGGAACTGAGGCTCAGAAAGTTTAAATGATATCTTAAAAAACGCCCAAGTGATTAAGTGGCAGCATTTGAAGAGAACTTCTATCTTCTTATTGCCAGGTAGTGTTCATTGCACCATATCATGCTACCTCTTGATTCTTTAAAATATTTGATTGGAAGTATTTTTGAATGTGATTTACTGGAGTCTTGAGTATGACATGAGAAAATTTCAAAGCAAAGCAGAAAAGAGTAACTCAAACTGAATTCCATGACTGGCTTCCATTCTTTCCTGCTAATCAGCTTCTAAGAGAATGCTGCATGGCCTAACTACAGGGAAATCCATTCACACCACAGCCTGTGAGTTGTGCAGTGCTCAGCCTGAGAGCTTGATACAGAGGCCATGAGCTTTTATCTTCCCCCATGGAAACTTCTTCACAATTACCATATCCCTACAGACCTATTCAGTCTGATTTTGTTGGCTATAAGTCCAATAGCCCTTTGTGTAGTACAGAGCTTTGCCTATGAAAACAAAGTAATTTGTTTAAAATGTTTTCTTATAATTCCCAAATTTGTCTTCCAGCACTTGAAGAAAGGCCAGATATTTGCATTTTAATGAAGACAAACTCCCACCCCATATTTTACCCCAAAGAGGATTTTAAAACATATAATAAGTTGTTCTGGAGCAAACAAGCACAGCAGCTCCATTAACTTGTCCCCTACAGCCAAGCAATTATGACGCTAAATTGAACTGTATTTCCTTCCCCTAATGAGATTGGGGACACTGACATAATTCAGTACTGTGACTCACTTGTGTAAGATACCTTTGATCACCAAGGATAACGTAAAGATCATACTTTGCAGGCTGCCTGTCACACACAGTATCCATTTTAAAAAGAAAAATTGGATACCTGATAGCTCTCCAAAAGGAAAAAGTGGAAAACATCCATTCATTAAAATGCTGACAATTTAAAAAATGAACATTATAATGTTCGTAAGCTAATCTCCACGTGGAATGAATTATCCAAAGGAGCATAATCAAATGAAACCCTTAAAAATCAAGGGTTTATATTTTTATGCTCTCATTAGTTTGCACTAATATAATGGACCAAGGCTGTTATAGGAAAAGACAAACTTCCTGATAGGCACTTCCATGCTTGATGATGACTGTAGTTATGCTTTGATGTCTTGTGCTTTCTTTTTTTACTTAAAGACCTGATTCTTAAAGATTTTAGAGCTTATATTTTACTTGAATAATGGATATTTTCCTGTAAAGTGGCTTATGAGAAGAGAATTAATATTTGACTAGTTAGAATTAATTAAAAGGTAAGGGAAAACAGGGTATTCTTATTCTTAGTTTAAATAATTTATGTAAATAGAGCCTATTTTCAACTAACATGACCACAGGAGCCTTTTGAGATTCATGATATTAAACAAATAATGAAATGTTAAGTAGTTAACACAGAACTTGAACAACACTTTTGGTACGATAGCATTTTGTGCTCTAAAGTATGTAATGATTTAGAAATGTGCCATATACACACTACAAGATAACTGTATGCATTCTGCTTCTCTGGGAACATCTTTACACCACAGGGTACATGGATTTACAAACATTTGGTATCTTCTTTGGAAACTTATTAACATGTATAAAATCATAGACATTCTCTGCAAGACTCAAAAATTCACTTAAAAATCTGATTATGTACTGAATGTTCAATATAGCTTTAGTTTATAAGGATACAAAAATCTAAGGTTAACAGAGTAGATTTCTTTGGAGGCAGATTTTTCAAAACTGAAAATTGGTAGATGCATCAAATACAATACTTCACAAAAGGAAAAATTCCAAATTTTTAAAAAACATTATCCCTTTAAAATAATCCCACTAAAAATATTCTTACATATGACAACAGATACCCATGAGACACTGAAATATGATTATGATGAACTATAAAAATTTTTCTCCATAGAATTATATTCCTTCTGGTTACATGGTATATAGTAAATTAGACTCAATGGCTTTTCCTTCCTTCCTTGCTCCTGGTTTTCCTACTCACGTTTCCTCAGATTGCCCTAAAACTCTAAGCTCAGTAAGGCTTATTGTGAAAAAGAACTCAATGTAATGGTATAATGAAGTTCTCCATTTCCAAACATCTCTTAATGATTTCAAAATTTATCATGTAACTGAACCAAGACATACACATTAAAAACTAAGAATTTAAAATTGTCACAGCCATTTGAGCTTCTCAGGTCTAAAGGGTTTGAGATCTGTATCTTTAGTAAAAGTATTGAGTGAAATATAGCCATTTGGGAGTTCAATCATGTGCATATTGTATTGTTTTATATACTCAATATTTAATTTACAACTATCCTTATTTATATTGACCTTAAGAACTCCATTTCATACAATGCAAACTGAGATATATTTTCAGAGAAGTATAGAATTAGCATTCTTTCAGATCATTTCCTTTTTCTTTTATAATTACTGTATGGCAATTTTATTATGGATAACTGATTATACATATTCATATTTCATTGATTCTAAGATATCTGCTTTTCAATTTCACATTTCTAAAATTGTGATATATCTTGCAATCACTGGCATCTTAGATGCAGTGTTTGAAGTTGTACTTGAATAAGTATTACACTAATTCACCTTTAAATGTTCACGGGGATAGGAACATTCCTTTTCTTAAAAATATTTGAGAACCCGTTTATGATAACATGTGAGGCCAATTTTCAGTATAACTGAATCACATACAACTCATCATGGAGCCTGTCTGATTATGAGCTCAGATCCTGCAGACCTTTAGGTTATAAAAGCTCTTCATCTTCCTATGTATACTTTGTGCTAGTGGCTACGATTTCAGCAAACCTAACTTAACTGACAAGAATGGGTGGGTTTCTCCCAGTTTTGCTAACAGATTTTTAATCTTTCTATTCCTTTCTAAAGAATACTTTCATATGATCATCTCACTTTTAAACAGAATTAACTGGAAAAATATATGAAACCATCACAATTAGATTTTGTAGCATCTTGTATGTCTTATGTCAATGACAGATGAAAAATATGATACAAGCAATCAGTACTGTAGGGAAAAAAACTTTCCCTTCAAGTCCTCTCATTTTTTTTATACTTCTTTCTCATTTCTGCCCTTTTGTTTGACTTTTTTCTTTGGCTTTGATGAATTTACCTTCAAGCCCATATAATGACTGTCATAAAACTGCATATTTAAGTTATTTGAATTATATGAAACAATTGTTCAGCTATCTGGGCAGCTGTTAATGAAATACCTGAGAGTAATAACACTACTCTTTTATCTACCTGGCATACTTCCCTGCATAAAATCTACCTTTGTAAGCTAACTGTATTAATCAGATTTCCAACCTCTATGATGTATTTCAGTTAAAATTATTTAATCCAACAATATTAAAAAACAAAACAAAAAACTGCAGTTATCAAGGATGGAAAATGTGTGATTTGTGTAAAGAACATTTACTAACCTTACACTGTACCACAGATAAATGTGATTTTGATAAGAATTCCCCATAATGACAAAATTCATGGTACATAAATTTTATTAAGAATGTTGGATATGAAATATTTTAATTCTAAATTATAAGAAAATATAAATTTGCACATAATATAGAAATTCATTTTGTGTATATTTAACATAACTTTAAAACTATTTTACATTTACCAGCTACTTCATTAAAGTTTTTTAAACATCTGCAAAAATAATTTAGAAATGTTTTTAAATTATCAGTAATATAACCTTATTTGTTTCATTTAACAAGTCCTGTTTTTGTAAAAAATAAAATTAATATAGAGTGTATTTTTAAATTAAAATATTTGAATTTAAAATAGCTCTTATGAAACAAAGAAATTCTCATTAAACAAGTTTCTTATTATTTCTTCTTATTATTATTATAGTTAAATTGCCTTAAATGACACAGAAAATTGGGGAATAAGATAATTTCAGAAACTATACTATGAACATGTTCATGTAATTCTGATTGACTACTAACTTCTGTTTTATGTATTTATTAAAGAGCTGACACTGTAGTTTGTTGTGAGATGTTTATTTTTCTAACAGAGCTTATAATAGTTATGACAAGGCATTTAATTAATGCATCATTCTGTTTAAAAGTAGGTATTAATCAGTATGAAATTTTATGTTTTAAAATAAAAATGTAAAGATCTAAGAATACACAGAATGCTTCTTTGTTTACCATTTGTGTTACATGACCCTCAGAGCTGCCAGAAAATAGCACATTTTCATACAAGGAAATGTAGTATCATCCATACATTGTCATTGGTAGAGGACATTACATAATTCCAAAAAGCTACTACTTCTAGGAAGTTGTAGAGCCAATGATAAAGATGTGGGGTCATCCAAATTTCTCTCTTCCCTTTTGCTAGCTCCCCAAAAGTGGAAGCAGAAAGAACATCTGAATTACAGAGAACTGAAAAATTTGCTAAAAGATAATTCAGGCTTTTTTTTTATTAGACAGAGACTTCTACCATTACCTTGATACAAATAAACTTCAATTGCCCATTCTTGAGAGCCATACTTAAATAACTGAAATTTATGGAATACCTTTGTGTTGTGATTTTTCTCTGTTTAACTGAGGGGTGAAAGTAAGCAGATGAGGGGACAAGTTAAAAGTCAAATAGGACATGTGGACAGATTGCCTGTCATTAAGGAATTTTAATAGTTTGAAGGAAAAGGTATGTGTAGCACATCTGTAAGTAGAACAGTTGCACTGGAAAGATCAGATGGAATCTATCAGGTCTCCCAAGGACTGAATTTTTGAGAATTCATCCCAGTTGGGTTCAGACTACAGTCTTTCAGGCTCAGAATCGTGATTTTTTTTATGAGTGCTGTTTGGCCCCATTCTTCCCTTCCATCTTCAATAATAGGACCCGAGTTTCAGTACAGCAACACAGCTAAGATTTAACTACCCAGACTCCTTTGCAGCTAAATGTGATCAGAGGACTAAATGTGGCCAGTGAAATGAGAGAGGAGGGAGTATGTGCAACCCTGGATCTCACTTCCTCTTTGTCTCTTTTTGTTGTCTGGAACAAGTGGAGCGGCTGTCTTGGCCAAGGAAGCCCCGTGCTGAAATTGTCAGAGCTTCCCCTTCAGCCATCAGCTGCTTACCTCAAGACTGATACCTGGTAGGGAAACAATCCTTTTAGCTAAACCACTGCATTTGATGTTATAGCAGATAATCTACACTCTGACTAACAATGTATTCTTTATATAATTGTCTCACTGAATCTTCAGCAATACTAACTAGCATTTACCTTGATTTTTCAAATAAGAAAAACAACGCAAGGAGGTGTTAAGGACCTTGTATAAGAAAAGCAAGGCAAGGAGGTGTTAAGGACCTTGTATAAATACACACAGCCAGCAAGTTGCCAATGCAGAATTCATGCCCAGATCTGTTTTTCTCTCCGTAAATGACTGATTATATGTTTTGTGAGGATAGATTTTACTAGTGTAACTAGTTTTACTAGTCGAACTATGTCCCCATGCCCCCCCAAAAAGTGCAATAAATTAACTTGGAGGGTTAATGTATGTGCAAAAGTACTACACAGGAAAGAATGACTAAACCTTAAAAATGAAAAAAAAAATGCTAATACAGTCATGTTGGAGTTACACTAGAGTACGTCCACAGAGAAGAGCATTTGGCCTGGACTTTGAAGAAAAGGTGAGTATGGACATATAGAAAGGTGATGTCAGGGAGAGTTAGGGGAATGGTAAAGCAGACAAAGGTGAGAATTCCATGCAAGAACATTGAAATCTTGTTGAGATACACCACTGGATAATAAAAGGCAATAACCTACAGGTCCTAAGTTTTGAATTTGATTTCCAGGGTTAAAAGTTTGAATTTTGGCTACTAGGAAAAAGCAAACCCTGAAGTTTTTACATTGAAAAATGATATTATTGGAATTATACACAGTTTGGCATATACTCACAAAAACCAAATATAATTTCTTAATTAAACATTAATTTCATACCCTCTAATGCTGTCAATACTTTTTAATACCACTAAGGTTGAATCACTATGTTGTACACCTGAAACTAATATAACACGTGTCAACTCTACTCAATTAAAAATTTCTTTTTAAATATTATTAAGTATTTAATGCTATTAAATGCTTTTTATACTCTTACACTGTTGGTGGGAATGCAAGCTGGTGCAGCCACTCTGGAAAACAGTATGGAGGTTCCTCAAAAAGTTGAAAATAGAGCTACCATATGACCCA